TAATATATATAAACGTGAATTCTATTTAAAATGTGATTTTCAGCAATTCATCATACAAACACGGTTCGTGTGCCAATTCAACATCGAGGGTCGCGTGACGAGCGTGAACGCGCGTCTGTTGGCCGACACGATCTACTGCGAGGAGACGGAATTCTCTTATACCTCTCGCGCGCCGAACATCACGGTACCATTCGCAGTGATCTGGGGCGGCTCCAAACCCTTGGATAATCCGGACAATATACACCTTGTGATATACCGTTGCCGCGACATGGCGGACAACTGCGGCATGTGCCTGGCCCTGCCGACGAAGTACGGATGTGGCTGGTGCCAGAGCTCGGACAGATGCGAAGTGAAGGATCAGTGCGACCGCGGCTTGGGCATGTGGCTGAACAGCAACCAGACCTGCCCAAATCCGGAGATAAAATCGTTTGAGCCGGTAATGGGCCCCTGGGAGGGCAACACGAACGTGACGATTCGCGGCATCAATCTTGGCAAGACATTCAAGGTAAGAAAGACGTGATTCGGTTTATTCTGCTATTCGTTACCGAAGCGAAATACATAGTCTCTGAAATATCGTCTCCATTTATCATTCTCGTGTGTTTGCATAGTAATGTGTTATAATAATTAATGGAAAATATATAAAAAAGTATTACAAAAATATTAACCGGGACGTGAGTCGAGAAGATCGATTTTTTTCTAAAACTTTAATTGCTAAGGAATTGCATTTCTACAGCACTTATACTTCGAAGGAATGACAAAGTTATGAAATATTTCTGAGATCGCCTCAGGTCATTCACGAGCGTATCACTGTAGCTAATAGGCTATAGTTTGCTATTGTGTTAAAAAATATCATAGACTTTATAGTGATAAATTAAAATGATAAACGTAAAAAATATATTAATGCAATTTGAGCAACTACAACTCACTCAAATGTTACAAATGTGCTTTCTACCATAAAGATTTTTTAAATTATGAAATTCAACATTGACACTTGCTTTTATATATTTTGCATATTAAACTTTTATCATCATTAATACAATATCGACATTTGTTATCCGATTATATTCGTTCAATACACGTAATTGTTCAATATATATTGCAGGACATAGTTGGTGGCGTTACAGTGGCCGGCATGAGATGTCTACCTTACGAGGAACTTTACATTCGAACGAAGCAAATCGTTTGCCGAGTCGACGGACCTGGCACGCAGGAAGGCAGGAGCGGACCCGTTATCGTCAAGATCGAGGATTTCCGCGGCGAATCAGACTACAATTTCGAATTTGTGGATCCACAAATCCTCACGATATCACCCAAGTACGGACCTTTGAGCGGCGGTACCACTATCAAGATCACCGGTAATTATATGAACGCCGGTAGTACCATCCACGCTGACATCGACGAGCTACCCTGCTCCATAATAAGTGCCGAACCCAACGAGGCTCTTTGCATGACGAGTCCGAGCGATCGAAAGAGGAGCGGCATGCTAAAGATGTCCTTTGACGGTGGCAAGCGTTTATATGACGGTTACTTCGAATACGTCGATGATCCGACAATCGAGAGCGTGGAGAGTGGCGTGGCCGGTCAGATGAAGGTCCCAAAGGGGATTCCGGCGGGTGGAATAAAGATCTCGGTGACCGGTAAGAACCTCGGCTACATACAGAGCCCGCAAATGTACGTCTACTACGACGAGAAGATGTTCGTGTCGCAGTGCGAGGTGCACAGTCAGGAGAGCATGGTGTGCAAGTCGCCGACCATCGAAGTGCCCGAGCACATAATACTAGACGCCGAACGACCGCTTTCTCTCGAGTACGGTTTCCGCATGGACAACGTCACCGGCGTGCAGAATCTCTCGCAGCACGGCTTCAACCACTTTCTTCTGTACCCAAATCCGATCTATGAAGTCTTCGACGAGGAAGTCAAGTATTACAAGAGCGATTATTTGACGATCAATGGTCAACACCTCGATCGTGCATGCCAAGAGTCCGACGTGGTCGTGCAGATCGGTAACGCCTTCTGCAACGTCACATCCTTATCGCGGCAACAACTCACCTGCCGGCCACCCTTGTCGCAACCGCCGGCTATCGATGCTCAGGGTCTGCCCAATAAACAAGAGCTGCCGGAGGTAGTGCTGATAGTGGGCGGTACGCTACGTTACAACATCGGCAAGCTTAGCTACGCACTGCCAGCCGGGCTGAACGGGCCGTTGTCGAAACCCGCGCTCATCGGCGTGATCGCCGCCATCGTGGTCTTAGTATTCGTATTCATAGCGTTCCTTATCGCCTATCGCAGAAAATCCACGGAGAGTAATCGCGTGTTGAAGAATATGCAGGAGCAGATGGACATTCTTGAGCTACGAGTCGCTGCCGAGTGTAAGGAGGCATTCGCCGAATTACAGACGGAAATGACTGATCTCACAGGGGACCTCACCAGCGGTGGCATACCCTTCCTCGATTATCGCACTTACGCGATGATGATATTATTCCCCAGCGACGACAACAGTCCGGTACTGCAGTGGGACAGGCCAGAACTCGTACGAAAGGAGAAGGGATTGCGCTTGTTCGGTCAACTGATAATGAACAAGACTTTCCTGTTGTTGTTCGTACGAACGCTCGAGAGCAATCGTTATTTCTCGATGAGGGATCGGGTTAACGTTGCCAGCCTAATTATGGTTACGCTACAGAGCAAAATGGAATATTGCACGGACATCCTGAAAACCTTACTGGCGGATCTTATCGAGAAGTGCACGGAAGGCAAGAGCCATCCAAAGTTGTTCCTGAGACGGTAAGTATACGATATTCTCAATTATTAATGCTCGATGTTGATATTTACGATTTTAAGGGACTTATTTATTTCGTAGAACTGAGAGCGTTGCTGAGAAAATGCTGTCTGCTTGGTTCACATTTCTCTTGTACAAATTCATGAGAGAATGCGCTGGTGAACCACTGTACGTACTGTTTCGTGCGGTAAAACAGCAGGTCGATAAGGGTCCTGTCGATGCGATTACATCGGAAGCACGATATTCTTTGTCCGAAGAAAAATTGATCCGACAATCTATCGATTTCAAGCCAATGGTAAGGAAGCGTCAATACTTCGA